TGGATAAATTATGTTTGAGAGAGAAACATGGGCATCAGCAAAAGGGATCATCAAGTGGTGATGGAGATTTTGGACATTTTCGAGGTCACTTGCTCTTTGAGTTTCTTGAACAGGATCCACCATTCATTCGTGAACCTTTATCTGATAAGGTGTTTACATCTTGTTTACACAAGTAAAACAAATTCGATTTTCTGGTCTTGTTTGTGATGTTTATTTAAGTATGTTCCTTCAGATTTCAGATCTTGCACGGTGTTTCCCTGCATTGAAGTCCCTTCGAAGTTGTGATCTTTTGCCATCCAGTTGGATATCAGTTGCATGGTGAGATTCAGATCGACTGAAAAAGTATTTGAAAAATAAATATTGATTTTGTGTAGCTTGCTTGTGTTTAAGGTATCCTATATATCGAATTCCTAATGGCCCTACATTGAAGGATCTGGATGCTTGCTTTTTGACCTTTCATTCTCTTTCCACACTGATGAAAGGTAACTATCATCTTTTGCACTGTCTTTTATTCCTCTCCTTACTAGATGAACATGTACAAAACATTATGCTTGAAATAAATATGGTCTAATCAAAATTATGTTTGTTCTGGCTTGACGATTTTGTCCTAAATTGATGTGGAATGCTGCTACTTGGCATTGTTGTTTTGACTTTTAAATGTTGCAAGACAAATTATTAAGCATACTGAAAAATTATTAAGCGTAAATTTTGGTCGACTTCACCTCTTTGCACAATTTATCAATTGAACAAGCTTAATTCGGAGATTAGCTAATCATCTACCTATAATAAATGGCTAGCTAGTGATAATTTGCATCTTAGTGAAGCCTCATTCAGTCTATGCTCAAGCTTAATTCAAGGTTAAATGTTGAACTTGTTTCAGGGTTGTCGGACTTGGGCTCAAGCATACGTAGAACACGTTAAGATTTGTAATTCCAAAAGCACTTTTGTACATTCTCACCATGCACAAACCAATATTTACGTGCAAATGACACCACAAAAGTCACTCGAAGTACTTGGCAAAAACTACTGCTGAACGAGAGCTTCCAAGGCAACAGTTGCACCCAAATCAGAGAGGCCAAAAGCTGCAGCAAACGACGTCCTTCTCTTTGCCCCTCTTCTTGCTCGCTGCTCCGCCTGTGATCTCAACGGACCTTACCTCGGGCTTCTTCATCTGCCGCTTGGGCACTATCAAGGTGAGCACCCCGTTCTCGATGGAGGCCTTCATCTCATCGGCCTTCGCATCCTCCGGCAGCCGGAACCGCCTGTAGAACCTGCCGCGGCTCCTCTCCGAGCAGTGCCACTCGCACTTCTCCTTGTCATCGATCGGATCCCCGCTTCGCTCGCCGCTTATGGAGAGGACCCTGCCGTTCTCCACCTCCACCTTCACGTCCCCCTTTCTGACCCCCGGGAGGTCGGCCTTGAAGACATGCGCCTCCGGGGTCTCCTTCCAGTCCATGTGGATGTCGTCTGCGCCGGAGTCATCCGAGGGAAAGCCACGGAGTGCATCGAAGATGTTGCTGTGACGACCCAACAACATGTTGTGGACGAGAGACATATTAGATGCTGCTGCTGCGTCTGCTTCTTGAAGCTGAGATATGTAGCAAACTCCGGTGTCCAAAGTGAGGGTGGGAGTGTATTTATCGTTGGCGATAGATCAGTCCTTCATCTGGAAGTGTCTCATTGGTTGCTTCCAGCGTGGTATTATATCTATTCCACTAATAAACGAGACATTGGTGCTCCGGGCGTTTCGAGAAGCCTCTACGCCTTTCTTGTCATGTCCACGTAGTTTGGGTGGGACCAGATAGACCAAGTAAGATAATTCTTTGGATGAAATCTTGATCGTCGAAAGAATTATTTATTAATATTATTATGATTTGATTGAAATCAATCAATTCCAAACCAATTATTTTAATTTTAAATCAATTAAATATAATAAAAAAAATAACACATAAAACATTGTACCTTAGGAGGTTAAATCTTTATGTCTAAAATCAATTAACTTGGATTTGAATCTTCAAATAACCATTTAATTTGATTAAATTTTCATTGCACTCGTCATAATTATATGCCTATTCTTTAAAATTATAATTTTTATATTTATAATTAAATTTAATTAAAAATAAATAAAAAAAACAATTCTAATCAAAATCGAAACCGTTCGAACCGATCCTAATTTTTTATAATTTTATTTTTAATCAATTTTTTTAAATCATTACACTCATCATATATTTTTTAAAATTTTAAAATAAAAGTATTCATTTTTTTCTATTTTAAATCATTTTTAATAATAAAAAATAAAAAAAAAATTAACGACTCTGATCGGAACCAAAACCTTCCGAACCAATCGAATCGACGGTTTGGTTCCTAACAATACGAATCCGAATCAAAAATTATTCTGATGTCAAAATCGATCGTTCTGGATCCATCCACGATCACGATTAGGTACAAGGCCAGATGCATGCACCGGTGAAGACTTACCGCTGGATTCAGTATCGATTCTGTGGGCAAGACGGGATAAGAAAAATTATTATTCTGGGTACCTAACGATTGATGATGACACATCAGGCGGCTTAAAACAAAATAAAGAATAGAACAGAGGTGAAATATACTGGAAGACTTGAGCACCTTCCAGAATCCGCCTGCCGACCTTGACCAACGACTTATTGCCTCGGCATCGACGCTATAAAATACTCATCGTCCTTAACTCACCAAGAACAAGGAAAAGAAATCCACAGCTTAGCAACGCATCCTACGCTACCACCAGAAATCCTTCAAAGGCATTTGCAACCATGCCGATCGTGAGGCGCAGCAACATCTTTGATCCCATCTCTGTCGACGTTTTCAACACCTTCCCCGGCTTCGCGAGCGAAACCTCCGCCTTCGCCAACACCCGCATCGACCGGAAGGAGACGCTCGATGCCCACATCTTCAAGGCCGACCTCGCCGGGGTGAACAAGGAGGAGGTGGAGAAACGCAGGGTCCTTCAGATCAGCAGCGTGCGGAACGAGGAGCAGAAGGAGAAGAACGACAAAAGGCACAGCGTGGAGAGGAGGTTCCGGCAGTCGGAGAACGAGCAGGTTCTGGCTCGGCGTACGGTGCGATGTCATTCCGGGTTTACCGAGTCCGGTCGTGCCGTACAGAGACTTGAGATTCGTTTCTCGTGTAATGTGACGTATAGCAGTAGCCGTGACGTGACGTGTTCTGAGGGCACAGTTGAGAAGCCCGACGGCAAGTCCCTAAGGAGGAAGGAGGAAGTTAAGGAGCCCGACGGCAAGTCCCTAAGGAGGAAGGAGGAAGTTAAGGAGCCCGACGGCAAGTCCCTAAGGAGGAAGGAGGAAGTTAAGGAGCCCGACGGCAAGTCCCTAAGGAGGAAGGAGGAAGTTAAGGAGCCCGACGGCAAGTCCCTAAGGAGGAAGGAGGAAGTTAAGGAGCCCGACGGCAAGTCCCTAAGGAGGAAGGAGGAAGTTAAGGAGCCCGACGGCAAGTCCCTAAGGAGGAAGGAGGAAGGAGGAAGTTAAGGAGCCCGA